AGCCATGCTGGGGAGGTGGGGGACACCTGAATTTGGGGTATCTTAAGAAAGGAAAAATGACAAGATGAGCTGAATAGACTGGAAGTGAAATGTAAGGAAAGAGTCAAGGATGACTATAAAATTTTGGCCTGAGGAATTTGGAGGACAAAATTGCCATCTTTTATCACTGTATTTCAGAACCTAGTATATACATTTGATGTAGTTTGGTGAACTAGTGAATGAACTATAAACTAACCATACCTCTCCCATCTGTTGTTCAATAATTTGATGAGCAATTTCTTCTATGGTTGCCATGATCTAATTGCCAAAATGTCCTGCCAAAAATAAAAAGATAATTTTTTTATAATTATACCCATAAAACATATTTATTCAAGAATTTAGAAATGAAATTATATGTTAGGATTTTACTCAAAGCAATCCAGTTAAGGTGGGCAGGGGTGGGAAGGAAAAAATAAAACAAAATTGACCATGCACTGACAGTTACTGGTTAAGTTTACACAGGGGTTCATAAAATTATTCTGTCTGCTTTTATATATTTTGAAAATGTCTATTAAAAAAACTATTCAACCAAACAATTTCACTTTTCAAAGATACTGAAGCCTAAACAGAACTCTACTACAGATTAGGAGTTTATGAACTTAAACAAGGGTAATCCTATCTGTAAACAAACACATCACTGTAGCCATTTAACACACTTTTATCAAATATTATAAAAACTGACAAAATAATTGCATTCATTCAGAAGGATGGAAGATTTTCTACAATCATTTCACTAATGATCATTCTTCATTAGTGGCAATTTGGTTAACTGAATTTAATGAAAAGTTGTCTACAAATGGATTTGAGAGCCTGTAAGATTAATGAGTTGACTTTGACTTGTTTTTTCTCTACATGGGGTAGTCAAGAATATAAAATTTACTTCGGGCCGAAACCAGTTTGGCTCGGTGGATAGAGCATCGGCCTGCGGACTGAAAGGTCCCAGGTTCGATTCCGGTCAAGGGCATGTACCTGGGTTGCGGGCACATCCCCAGTGGGAGATGTGCAGGAGGCAGCTGATCGATGTTTCTCTCTCATCAATGTTTCTAACTATCTCTCTCCCTTCCTCTCTGTAAAAAATCAATAAAATATATTAAAAAAAAAAAAAGAAATTTAAACAAAACAAAAAAAATAAAAATAAAAATTTACTTCGGGCTTTATATTATACTAGAGGCCCAGTGCACGAATTCGTGCACAGGTGGGGTCCCTAGGCCTGGCTGGCAATTGAGGCCTATTGGGGCCTGCAGGCTGGGGGAGGAGGAACTACGACCGGTAGGGGGGAGGGACCGTGGGAGGTTGGCTGACCTAGGGAGGTTGGCTGTTGGAGTGCACTGACCACCAGGGGGCAGCTCCTGTGTTGAGCATCTGCCCCCTGGTGGTCAGTGCGTGTCATAGTGACAGATCACTTAGGCTTTTATATATACACATACACACATACATATACATACTAGAGGCCCGGTGCACAAAAATTTGTGCACTGGCGGGGGGGGGGGGGTGTCCCTCAGCCCCCCCTTTGGCCCCCTTCACAAGGCTGGGGACCCTCTCGGGAAAAAAAGGAGGGGTGGGTTTAAGGCCCCCTCCCTGGAGGGAAGAGGGGAGGCCCAACCCCTAAGGGCCGGCTTCCTGTTCAGGTCAAAAAAAGGCAAATTGGGGGGTGGGGGGCCGCCTCTCC